ATTATTACTAAAGAGCAAAGGGATTTTGCAAAACTGAAGTCACACACCAGATGAAGAAGCTGTCCCAGAAGACACCTTGAAAGGTAAGGGGGAAGCTTCTAGATGGATAAGCAAAGCATTTCCATGAGAAACACAAGGATGTGGAGAAGAAAGACCACCCAAATAAGTGGCAGGACAGCAGGCTGCTTCCCTGGACCTGTGGGTCCCAGGTTGGTAACTTTCCCACACAATCAGAAGCCTCAGTGGCTGAGACCAGCCTCCAAAGGTGCAGCAGCTCTCTGGCCTTTGGGGTTTCCAGGGGGCAAGTTTGCTTGTGGGGTGAACAATTACATGGCTCCTCCTACCTCCTCAGCCTCCTTCTGGCCTCTCTTCCTTTGACCCTCCAGGAAAAGTTCTCAGTCCTCCTGCAGAACTGCTTCCACCACCAGATCTCCATGAGCACAGGTGTCCTGCCCAAGTACCCCTCCTTCCTCATCTGGGAATCTTCCTGGACCTCACAGGGGCCAGCCATCTGGGAAGCTTTCCCTCCCCCTGTAGACTGGGCAGTGCCCCTGATCTGTGCTCCTGTAGCACCGTGCCCTTGCTTTTTCCTCCACTTATTATTCATTGCAGGCTGCCATGGCACAGTACCACAGACTGGGTGGCTTGAATAAGAGAAATTGATTTTCTCATAGTTCTGCAGGCTGAAAGTCCAAAGTCAAGGTGCCAGCAAGGTTGGGTCTCTCTTCCTAATTTATAGATGGCTCCTTCTTGCTGCGTGCTCACATAATCTCTTCTGTATACCTGAAGAGAGGAGGGAGAAGAAGGGGGAGGAGGGCAGGGGAGGAGGGGAGAGAAGAGTGGAGGAGAACACACTCAGATGTCTCTTTCAATTCTTTTCAGGACACCAGTGCCATAGGATGAGAGCCCTACCCTTACAGCCTCACTTAACTTTACCTCCTTAGGGGCCCTGTTTCCGAATATAGTCACATGAGAGATTAAGGTTTCAGCAAATGAATTTGCAGGGGTTGGAGCAATGCAACTCACTCCGTAGCACCCCATTAGACAATAAGTTCCACGAGGGCATGGCCTTGTCCACTGCTTATTTTTGTGTTCCCCAGCACTCACCCCTCACCGTCACCCTACCGCTCTGAGATTCTCTGTCATTTAGGCGGGTTCTACTCATAGCAAAGGCTCAATAAATCTGTTGAGTTAGTGAACAAATGAAGGAGTCAATTACGTGTGATGATAGGATTTTATAAATATCAATACTCAAATGTGATCTACTTTAGGTTCCTCGCTTTATAGACGAGGAAGCTGAGGCGCGAAGGTTCTTGGTGGTTTGTGGCAGAATGAGGGCTGCACATTGGAATCTCTACGCTCCCTTTTTGCTTGGAGCAAGAGCTGTCCCAGGGCTTATAAAAGTGGTGGTTCTTTTCAAATCTGTGCCCAGAATTTCCTTGCAAAGAAAACATCTTTGGCCTTTCATTGGCAAGCAAAAAGCCCTACCTTGCTTTGTCTCTCTTGCTATGTTGGACAGTTTCTTGCTATCTTAGTAATCATTGAAGGCACTTGAAATCCTTCTGCTCTTTTCTTGAGTCTGGGTAGGGGCTGCAGGGCTGGTCTGGGGTCCCGGAGGGACCTGTGTGTGTTTTGATTCCAAGCTGACAACCCAGGTGTGTGGCTCTTGGAATTCCTGTTTCTCTGCTAATGGATTTTGTTAACTGTTTGTCATTTGCTTATGCAAATCTACCTCTTTCCACATTAAAATGAACCCAATTATAAAGTGAAATTTCACAATTAAACCACTTAGTGAAGGACATTAAGGGACCAGAAGGAATTGATTTGTAAAAATTTCAGTTATTATTACCAAATGTTTCTGAAATGTGACTAAGTCCTCAGGTTTTCTTTAAACAAACACACAAACTTGAGCATTTTCGCACACAGTGCACAGACATAAGCACACAGTTCCACGCACCTGGTTTCCATCTCCTCACTGTGGGACTTGTTCTTGCTCCTTCTCTGGGCCTAAATTTTCCCCAAAGAGAGGAAATTCCACCAGCCATCAGATCATGTCTACAGAGTTCTTGGAAACTTTCCAAAAGAAATGGCCACTGGGCTGAGGAAGCTGGGGTAGGCAGGAAAATAGCAGAAGGTGTAATGGTTTTAATAAAGCCTCTTTGCCACCTTGTGATTGATTGATATATTTTGGCATTTGTTTCCCTGCTCTGTTGTAATCGATAGCAGTTATAGACCAAGGAGCAGGAAAGGCTGGGGATGTGGGATGGGGGCGATATCGATTGTTCTTTACAGGAAACAGCTTTGCCTGGGACTGCGGTGCGGCGGCCACTAGAGGCAGAACCTTGCATCCCTAGGAAAGGTTATCTCTCCTTACCCAGCCCCACTCCACCAGGTAAGATGGCAACAGAAATTTGGAGCTGAGTAAGGACAGAACAGCATCCACCTGAAAAACTAGGCTTTGTGATGCTTGAGAGAGACAAAGTCACATTTACTTTTCTCATTGCAGTCACGATCAGAGAGCAGAAACTGAAGTCTCCTGGGCTGCTGTGAACATAGGCTGAGAAGGGTCTTTGGGGATAAACTGGTGATGATATTCTTATGAGTTCCAGGATTCACTTTTATCTATGAGAGTGAATCCAGCTCCCTTGGCCCATGCAGTACAATGTAGAGGTAATGTTAACATAAATTCTGGACCCACATTGCCTGGTTCAAAGCCTAGCCTTGCTATTCGTGTGTGACTTTGATCAGTTAGTTCATCTTCTGTAACTTGTTTTCCCCTATCAGTAAAATGGAGACAGCAGCACCTATTTCCTAGGCTTGCTGTGATAGGGATGGGAGTAACCTATGTAAAGAATATGGAATATCCATGGCATTTAAGAAATGCTCAGTCTGTGTTGCTTTTATCATCTATTGCTGGTGGATACCTGGACTAGCATCCATGACTTACAGATGGAAGGGACAAATTTCCCTAATCAGATAGGGCTATCTGGCATTTGCCTTCTGGTGGTAAGAAGGTAAAGCTCAGGACACAGTGTCTGCTAAATAATTCTCTTAGTGCATTGGCCTACTAGCTACAGGATTTCTCAACCTTTTTTTAGATTAATTTTTCCTCTGAAAGCTTTCAAAAAAAAGAGACCAGGTCCAGATTCAAGGGGATAGGGAAAAATTGTATTAAGCATGGTAGAGCCAGTGCCCAAGAAAGATAGATATGTGTGCATTAAATGAACACCAAACTCCCACTAAGTGCAAGAGAGGCTCAGCTGATGTGATGATTTCCTTTGTGAATCTGACTGGACCTTGTGCTGATCCACTGAGATGTGCCGTCACCCCTCTGCAATGTCGTGACAAATAATTTTTGTGTAACTGGGGATTCCCTGTCTCTAGAATAACGGGCTCAAAAGAAATAGTTTGTTTAAAAATGCATTTGTCACTTAACATTTTTGTTGAAAACTTACTCATTTTTGAAGTATAGTTTTATTGTCTTTTATAGACCTGGGTCATTTTTAGTTTCAGAAATTCATTTAGCATATGACGGGACTTTGGAGCTTATTTTCCCCCAAATCATCAGCCTGGATGCCATGACTAACACAAGTTATCAGATTGGCAGTTTCAAAGGACTATAAGAAAAGGAGTCTCATGACAGACTCCTGAGGGGTCAGAGCTAGAAGTGATCGTAGGAATCTTCTTGTTTGTCCCCTCCATTTTAAAAAGTAGTTATTATTTTAATTTAATTGTAATATACATTTATGGAATACAGTGTGATAATTCAATGTGTGTATACAATGTGTAATGATCAAATCAGGGTAACAAATGTTTCAGTTTCCTTAAACATTAAAAAATCTTTTGATTACCATGTAACAATTATACATATTTATGAAGTACAGTGTGATATTTCAATATATGTATACAATATGTGCTGATTAAATCAGAATAATAACATTGTCTACCTCCTTACCATCACTTCATGTTTGGAGGCTTCAAGCTCTTTTCTTCAGTTATTGATAAGATATATAATAGGTTACTGGGAACTATAGTCTTAGTTACTTTCTTGTTGCTAGGACACAACACCTGATACCCACAAGTTAAAAGAGGAAAGTTTTATTTTGGCTCAGAGTTTGTAGAGGTTTCAGTCCATAGCTGGCTGACTCTAAGGGTCAGGGTACCGTGGCAAAGAGGCATCACAGAGGAGAAACAGTTCATGGCATGACAGGCAGGGGGCAGAGAGACAGGTCAAGGGAGCAGGGAGGGAGACAGACTCTTCTAGGCCACACCCCCGTGACTTCCTCCTCCCACCAGGCTTCCCCTCCCCGCATCACATTGAGCTATAAACTCATCAGTGGACCAATCTACCAATGAGTAACATGGTCCCATGACCTAATCACTTCCCAAAAGTTCAACCTATGAGTGCATAAGACTTTGGGGGGACATCTAGATACAAACCATAATATATAATCACCCCACTATGCTGTAGGACACTATCACTTCTTCTAAATAGCTGTGTTTTAGCTGTTGGAGGGCGGGGAGCACAGGCTGGAGGCAGGGATTCAAAGCATGAGTGTCCACATGAAGACCACCAGTGGCTAAGCAGGAGTTCTGAGCCCACCCTAGGGGGGGCCTCCTGAATCACGGCTTCAGCCGCACCAAGGCTGCTGTGGTTGCGAAGAAGATGGAGACCCGAGGCTGGAAGCTGGTGTCTGAGTCCCCTGATGTCCTGCCCCAGTGAATGGCCACCGCAGCTTCTCACAGCCTGCTGCCCCCCATGGCCGCTCAGCCCCAGCCCTCAGCCCACCCTTGAGGGAATCTCCTGCCAGGGATTCCCTTCTTATTCCTTCTTGCCGTCCACCAAAAACCAATTCAATTGTCTTTTTGAGAATAAAGCCTGGGCTAGTCTTGCCAAAAATACATACATACATAACTGTGTTTTGTACCCAGTTGAGAGATGGCATGGTGTCAGCAATAGACTTGGAATCTCGATGCTGTTCCACATTCCATGAGTATGATGCTTGTGCCCTTCTGGCTCTATACCAAGTCCTTTTCTCTCTCCAATCTCCTCTTCTAAGGTTTGTGTTTCTGGCTGTTATTGTTTGACAGTTCAATTGATAAAATGGAGATGCACCATGTTCTTATTGGTGCCACATTATGTTAGGTCCAGGATATGAGAATAAGATGTGAACCCACTCCTACACTATAGGAGACTGTAGTGTAGCATTGGTAAACCCAGTCATTGCTGTGTCTCCCTATTACAGGATTGTACTTATCTGAACCATCACATTGCTTGGCTGTGAAATTTGAGCATAGGTAATACTGTTATCTCTGAGCAGAGGCTTTTGGGCAGACTTTTTGTGGTTCCTCTTGCATTTTCTCTTTTCTATAATCCATGAGAGTAGCATGTCCAGAGGAGTGTCGGGTGTCTAGCCAAGCCCTACAGCAAAGCAAAGACAGAATAGTGACAGAGCCACGGGTGACCTGCAACAAGATGAGCACTGAGCCTCTGTGTGGTGAATCCCTGAGACTTTGCGATTGCTTCTCTGCAACACAAGTTGCATGAGCTGATGGCTACAGAGAGGACCACAAAGTAAACACAGAGAGAGTTTATTTGCAATGGAAACACAGGGTGATAAGTGCTTTGCTTTATGTAGACACAGACAATCTTTATGTAGACACAGAGGAAACTATAACTCTCTGGGGTGGAGGCATCAGGGGAAGCTTTCTAGAAGAGACAATGGCTTAGAACAGTGGAGGTGAACCTATGGCATGAGTGTTATTCTTTTAAGACAAAAGATGTATGAGTTTTTTTTTCCCTAAATTAAAACCTTAGTTTAACTGCAGTGTTGGCACTTTGTGATAAATAAGTGGGTTTGAGGTTGCAGTTTGGGCACTTGGCCATCATTGGCTTAGAAGCATCTAAAGGTTGGAGAGAAACTTGCCATGTGAAAGGATAGGGACACTTGTTTTCTGAGCTATCCTAATCAGAAGTTCAGCAGGCGTAGCCACAAAATATCACAGTATGTTGATCTCTACACAGTGGGGACAGGACCAGGCTTCTAATCAGGTTACCAATCACTCTGCAAACACTTGAAGTGCATCATTTATTTTGAGTAGAGCTTAGGGCCCAAATCATCATCTGACCGGTACTTTGGAGAACTAAGCTAGACTGTGAGTGAGCCATATCGACTAAAAACCGTTTACTTTGTATGGAAATCAAAGAATAGGTATACATAGTCTGGAAATCAGCATTGTCTTGCAATATTTATTTACTACTGACTCGAGTAATATCTTGTGACCACGTATCTTTTTTTTTTTTTTTGTATAATCCTCTGTTTCTCCTGGTGTTAATAATTGCCTCCTTTTTAATTGACCTGGCTTCCATATGTGTGTGTATAGATAGATAGGAGATAGAAGATACATATTGAAGATATACTCCTAAGTGAAATAAATAAGTCACACATGTGTAAATACAGAATAGTTTCTCTGGTGTGAATAATCTGCAATAATACATAAGATCCTAATAAGATTACTGACATTTAGAAATGGGAAGAAAGGAGCTAAAGGTGTAGGGAAGGTAGGATGGGTAGGGGAAGGGTAATAAGGGAAAAGAAAAAAATGTGAGATAATGAAAAGTTGAAAATAAAGTGTTTGTAGATGGGGAGGGGAGGAGGGGGTGAAGGGAGCACAGGGGTAAGGGGAAAAATGAGAATCAAGACTTGTCATGTAGAGGTACAAGATCCCAATAATGAATGTAACTGTACTGTATCCCTAAAATGTACCAATAAACTCAAGTAAAGCTGAAAAAAAAGAAGATAGAAGATAGATAGATAGATAGATAGATAGATAGATAGATAGATGATAGATTGATTTTTCAAATAGCTCAACAACTATGTGACATATTTGCTAATACTAATATCACAGTTATTTTCTCATTGTTGGGACAAAATACCTGACACTCACTAGTTGAAGGAGAGGTTTATTTTGCCTCACAGTTTGTAGAGGTTTCAGTCCATAGTTAGCTGGTTCAGGGCAGAGGAGAAAGAGTGCATGGCTTTAACAGGCAGGAAGCAGCAGCCACCAAGGCAGGAGGGATACATACTGTTCCAACCATGCCCACGGTGACCCGCCTCCCAACATCACACCCAGTTATAAACCCATCAGTGGAGTAATCTAGCATCACACACCCATGAGCCAGTCACTTCCCAGAAGCCCTGCCTATGAGTGCATGGGACTTTGGGGAGTACCTCAGATATATAAGCCATAACATTTAGTTACTTTTCTCACTGCTGAGACAAGTAGTTGCCATACATTCAAGTTTATCTGTTCCATTGCCCCCTTATAGGTACTCTACCAAATATCTTCTGTTTTCTGCTTCAATATGGTTTGGCTGCTTTACAAAAATGCTGTGTAACTGTCATCCAAAGCCTTGTTTCCTATTATTTTGAATATTTCCTTTACTGCCTTCCTCTGTTGGATCCCTTATTTCCTGAATTCCATGTATTCTATACTGGACTACCATCTAATTTACTGAATTTCATTTTCCTAAGAAAGGGTGCCTAGGAGGTAATTTTCTTGAGTTGTTGTAAGTTTTAAAATATCTTTATACCTCCCTGAAATGTGACTGCTAATCTATTTGAGTATAGACTTATTAGATTAAAAACATTTTCCATTAGAATTGAGAAGGCATTTCTCTGCATCTTTTAACAGATGGCTCTGCTTTTTGAAACTTAAAATGTTGCTTTTATTATTGTTTCTTTTACCTGTGTGCTTCTCTTTAGAGGGTTTTTAGAAACTTTTTTATCTCTGTGTTCCAAAATGTCATAATAATGATGGTGGTAGATGTTGGTAGGTACCTTATTCATTCTTTGTTCTGTGTGAGTTGAGAGATTGTTTCCTCTCTCTCGCTCTGTCTCTTTTCTGGTACTGGTGATCGAACTCAGGACCTTGCACTTACGAGGCATGTGTGGCACCACTGAGCTAAATCCCTAGCACTATTTATCTCTTATTATCCATTTATTTACTTCTTATTTCACCTTTAGAAGATTTCCCCGACTTTATCTTTTAAACCTTACTTTGAATTTTTGGAAAAAAAATGTATATTAACTTCAGACTTATTTATTTTTCAATGCTGGGGATTTAATTTTGGTCTTGTGAATGCTAAGCACATGCTCTACAACTGAGCTACACCTCCAGCTCCTAAAGGCTTTTTAAAAAATGATTATTATTTCAGTAGGGAGGATTGAGCCCAGGACCTCACCTGTGCTAGACAAATACTCTACCACTGAGCTACAACCATAGTCCTTTTAATTTTTTATTTTGATACAGGGTCTCAAAAAGTTGCCCAGAGGCTGGGGATTTAGTTCAGTGGGTCCACCACCTGCCTCACAAGTGCAAGGTCTGGAGTTTGATCCCCAGTACCAAAAAAAGTTGTCCAGGCTAGCCTTGAACCTGTGATCTTCTTGCCTTAGCCTCCCAAGTCCAGAATTACAGGTATTTGTCACTGAATTTAGCTCCTAGAGTTTTTTAAGATTAAAATTTTCCCATTCATTATAATTTTTCTTGTTTATGAATATAATCTTTATTCTTATGTTTTTGAAGTGTTAGTACTCTTTTCAAGCTTATCTTTTGCTCCTTGCAAAGTCTCTGTTGCTCCAAATCTCCTTTTTCTATGTTTGAAGCTTTAAATAAACCTGGTGATCATTAGCTCTCTGTTCATATTTAAGAAAGCGGCACTAAGAGTCCATTCTGTATGCTTGATATGGAATTGGGCAGAGTGTGTTGACTGGTGGCCTTCATAGAGGGTGACCAGGTGGTGGACCAGCCTTGTTCTTGTGTTGTCCCTGGGCTGTTCAGTTTGTGCACACTATTGGCTCAGCTTGGTGGTATGTAGAGCTGCTGTCATGGCCAGAGAAAGGCTTGAAGTCCACTGTTCAGTATGCAGAGCTTTCCTGAATTCTCTTCTCCCCACATACTTGATTTCCTTGGGTACAATATTGCCCCTTTTCAATTTCTCTAGGGAAAAACTCTTGTGTCCCGCAGAGCAGAGAAGACCAGCTGCCTGGCTATATGAGGCACGTGAAGACTTCTATAAACAGCTTTTCTATCTGTGTCCCCCAAATCCAGGGCCACAGTACTCAGTGTGGTAGGAGGTCAGACCCTCGGGGTTCTGCATAGGGATGGGCGCCCACTACAAGCCCTAGCTTGTGACTTTTTTCTGCTGAGCCGGTCACCACTCAGAGCTGTGGAACTCTCTAGTCCACTGTTCTTCTTTTGTTTTATCATTTCTTATTCTTGATGTCCTTGATGAATAGCCTTGCAGTTTCTAAAATTGGGTTGGAGGTTCACAGACTTCCTTGGGGAGACAGCCACAAAGCCCAGGAAGAAAGCAGGTGAGTGTTATCACCTTAGGTCTCACTGTATCCAGGTGCTCTTCAGTTTCCTGTTGTTACATGGCCTCCACAATGAGCTATGTCTCCATTCCTTTTTTAAAATTTCAAGACAGCTTCTTGCTGAGTTGCCCAGGATGGGCTCTTTTTTGAGATTGATCCTCTTGTTCAATTTCCCAGAGTGCTGGGTTTGTAGGAACGTGTCACAATGTCCTATGTGCTGTCCACAGGCTCCTGCCCCATAAGGGCTCATGTTGTCCCTGTAACATAAGAGGAAGATTAAGACCAGGCTCATGGTATGCTGCTTGCTGCCTGCTGTCTGAGCATATGTCCTGGTTTTGGCTACTGGGTTAGACAGGAGGGCGCAGAAAGGTCAGGGTAGAACTGGCCTACACCTACCACACAAAAATTTGGTCTCCTCAGTGCCTAGTGAGCCTTTATCTTTCCTGACTCCAAACAGGAAGGGCTTTCTTATCAACCCCATGGTAGGCAGAGATAAAGAAAGCGCTTTCTTTTCCTGGTCCAGTTCTGTTCATTCATTCCATGATTAGACACTGCTCTAGAGAGCAAAGCAGACTGGATCCTACCTGCACAGAATTTACTGTCTCATCCCAGGAAAGATGTCAGTAGCAGCAAAACCAAGCCAGTCCACTCCATCATGCAGAAGCCTACATATCACTGCCATCCTCAAGATTCTTAGCCAGTTCCCGAACTCCTGTTTCTTAGGACTGGAATGAGTGGAGTTTGGAGGTTGTGGGTGACATGGGGCATTTAAGCAGGTGGCCAGTGCACATGGTGCTGTTTCATGTCATTGTGGCATTTGGCGCATGCCATTTCCACCTGCACGGACTTTCCATGCCTTGTCATTTGGGCAAACTCCATTTGGTCTTTGGAACTGTTCCTAATCCTTTCCTGCACAGTCTTTCCTGGTCCTTTGCCCTCAGTATTACTCCTAGACTTCCCTATGGTCCTTTCTCCCCACTTTGTACCATCAGCAGCTTCTGTGTTAGTGATGCATCAGGTGCTAAAGACACAATAGGAGCGAGACTCTGAATAGTGGGTGAAGCCCTCACTCTAGCTTTGGCCTTGGGTAAGGGGTTTAAGTTTTCCGACCTCAGTCTTCTCCTCTATCAAATAAGGATGACCAAATCTACCACAAACCATCCTGGTAGTGATGGAATAACTGTCACTTGCCCCATGGCCAGGTACAATTGGCACTCAAACATTAGCTCCTTTTCCTTTCTCCCTTTAAGGGGCTCCAGGTGTAGTGAAGGGAGAAAAACAAGCAAACCAATCAATATAGGGCTTTGTTGCAGTTGCTAATGGTGATTCTGGAGCAGGTGAGAAGAGACAAAGAATCATGTGGCACTGATTTTTTTTTTTTAATTGGTACTGGAGATTGAACTCGGGCCCTTGGGCTTGAGAGACAGGCACCAGAACCACTGAGCTAAATCCCCTGCCCAGCCACTGATTTTTGACTCCACTTCTTTGCTTCTTCCAGACTGTGTGTGACTGCTTCAAAGCAGAAGCACATAATTTTGCCCTATTCAGTTCTGGGCCTCTAGCTCCTATCACAGTGCCTGGCACATAGTAGCTGCTCAACAAATGCTTATATAAAGGAAGTGGGAGTGACTTTTGCCTTTCCTGATGACAGCTTGATGACTAGAATCTGCTGCCTCCCCTTTTTTTTTACTCTCCAGGCTGTTCCTATCTCAGAGAAGGAACAATTACAGTTTATCAGCCATGCAGGATGAGAATCTTCTCACCTCACCCGGAGCTCATGTTTCCAAACCCTCTCCCAGTCTGTGGGGGGGGGGGCACGCTCAGCCACTGTCCTCCTGTGAGATCAGCCTCTCTCTGTCTTCCTCTCTCTGAGTACCCAGATATGCAAGCTCTGTCTGGCTTATCCATCCTATCCAAATGAATCTGCCTCCCAAACATTTTCTCTCTCTCTGGCCCTAGCTTGAAATGAAACTATTTGGCCCACAGACAGTTTTATGGTCCCTTGCCGGGGGGGGCACGCTCAGCCACTGTCCTCCTGTGAGATCAGCCTCTCTCTGTCTTCCTCTCTCTGAGTACCCAGATATGCAAGCTCTGTCTGGCTTATCCATCCTATCCAAATGAATCTGCCTCCCAAACATTTTCTCTCTCTCTGGCCCTAGCTTGAAATGAAACTATTTGGCCCACAGACAGTTTTATGGTCCCTTGCCTTCCATCCCTCTTGTTGAGTCACTGCACAGCTGAGAGCCCAGCCCAGGCTCTGATTTATATAGCTCTCCCAGGTCCCTGTTGGATTTCAAGTCTGGAGCAATAAGACAGGGCTACCCATCACCCTCTGCTCAGATCTCCCTGGACTCATCGGGAAGGAAGGTGGAGTGGGTGGCAGAGAAGATAGCCTCAGGGGTCCTACATTTGTCATATTGATCGAAGGTACAGGGATGGGATGGAAGGGGAAGCTTTTTATCTTATGCTAAGCCAAGCCTGTGAGATGGGGGCAGGGTAAGCCTGGGAAAGGTCTGAGAGCACACCTCCTCGGCGCGGCAGGAAGGAACCAGAGCCCTGAAGGCTGGTTTTAGGCTAGATAGCACTCCTCCCTCCGCCTCAGCTGAGCGTGTAGCAGCACTGGCCAGCCACGTTGGTCATTACCAGCTTATCCAGCTGACTGTGCATTGTGACACCCAGCATCCAGCATGGTAGCTGGTGCACAGTAGGCATGCAACAGAGAAAGATGTTTGCTCATTGACTAGGCTTTTTCTCCTTTCTCCTTTACCTGACCTCAGGGTCAAGACCAATCAGAGAAGTTCTTGTATACTTAGTCACCCTGCAACTGTGACCCTGTGTGTGAATCTGTGTGCTCTGCGTCCACGTGTGATGAAGATGTGCCACGTGTGAGCTGGCAGCTGTGCACGGGTCCATGGGAGTTCACATAATAAGTAAGAGCTTCCATGGAGGTAGGGGTTCTGGGATTCCATAGTCAGGGACCCGAGGGAAGCCATGAGTTTGCTTTCTGAGAACATTTAATTACTTAAGCCTGGGGCCTGAGGAGGTGCCACCCAGCCAAAAAGAAGGGAAGGTGTAACTAAATGCTTTCTGACCTTGCTCCTCCAAAGCAGAAAGGGAGCTACTAGGTAGTCATTGTCTGTAACTAATTTTTTTTTTTGGTACCGATGATCAAACTTGGGTCCCTGTGCTTGCAAGGCAGAACCACTGAGCTAAATCCCTGCCCTTTTTTTTAATCTCCTTTTTTTTGTCTTTTATTTATTTATTTATTTATTTTGTCTGTAGCTAATTTGAAACTGCCATTTTTCTCCAGGGATCCTCACCCTTTGAACTCAGGGAGGCTGACCTAGCAAACAAGCTGGGATGGAGATGGGCCCCCGTACCACCACGGGGCAACCACAGGACACTGGGTGACACAGTGCAGAGTCCCTGCCTGGGGAGAGACTGTTTGGGTTGTCAGGAAATTAGAGGCTTTGTTCAAAGATAGGAAAAGAAAACCAAAACCCAAATGTAGGAGTTGAAGGAAAGAGCATCCCAAGACTGCGGTGGGGTTGTGGCTTTGTTGTGTCTTTTTGTTTCAGTGCTGCCGAAGAAGCAATAACACGTAATGACCTGAGCATCACTGCCTTTCTGCTGACAGCTGCCTCCAGCGCCCGGGGAAGTTGGCTGACCTGAGGAGAAGCAAAGGGTGGCTAATGAGTCATTAAGAGTCTTTATCAAATTAGGATTATAATCCATCTCAACATGCAGAGGAAAATGTTTCAAATTATCCACTTTCTTAATTGCAACTTGAAGATTTGGCAGGAAATTATCACGAGAGATAATGCCTGGAAATTGGCGGATTGTGCTGGTGTGGTCTAAGCTCCCATGACTGTAATAGCTGGAGAAATCGCCCACACTCCTGTACACATGTTTGCACTGACACTTGCACATACGAACCCCTGCTGGCCCACGATACTACCCAGGCAGGCAGGCAGACATAGAGTTATGTCTGTGCACCATAGGTCAAGCTGTGCATTTCTTAGTCCATTCAGATAGCTTGAGACTCTTGCCAAACACTGAGAGGCTGGGAAGGAGAAGGTAAGATGTAAAGAAGCACTTAGTCCTTGCCTTTATGAAGTCAAAAGCTGCTTAGGGAGCTAGTGCACACATATTTGAAATTTTAGAACACACACAAAGCAATGCACTAATGAATCTGCTACAGCACAATGGTGAGTACATATGCTGTGTGGGATATAGGACAGAATTAAGTAATTTCTACACAGGCTGGGTTTTGGTTTGGATGTGGACCTTGCCACAGCACATGGTGATAGCGGCTAATGGGGTGAACCAAAGAAAGGTACACTGAGTCTTTGCAGAGGACTGTGCAGCCAGGCATGACAATTTGTTTGCATAGACAGGGCTGGAAGGCAAGGTCTGAGAGTCCAAGCTGACTTTTAACCTGTTAAGTCAGGAAAGACTTAGATTTTACCCCTTTCTTGCCCCTCCGCCTGAGCAGCAGTTTTCTCTGCAGTAGTGTGAGTGAAATCTGAAGACAGAACCTTTTCATGCTTCTCTTGGCTTCAGGAAACCTGTAAGACCTCTGTGAATTCAAGGTATGTGGTGTATTGGCCTATGCAGCCCCAAGGTCTTTCGTACCTGGCCATTTCCATGCTGAACAGGAACCAATGAGCTGGTAAGTTTCTCAGAAGGTATGGAGGCAGTACAATGAACGCAAATGAATGAACATGCAGGGGCCCAGGGACAAAGAGGTGATACAGAACAGTGGTTTGGAGTGTGGGTTCTGGAGGCCACCTCCCTGAATTCGTACCTGCTGCAAGTGGCTCCACCCACCTAAGTTTCACAGGGATGCTTTGGAGATGTGACCAGCAGTACTGGTTAGGCTTTTAGCATAGAGCCTGACACTTAGAAATGATCAACATATATTAGCTATTGTTTTTGTGGCTGCTTTGTTTTGTTCTTCTTTGCAAAGCAAACTATGCTCCACACACTTGGGTAAGCTGTGGGTACTATGCTTTTTCATATAGTCATCCTTGGTCACCCTTCCCTTTACAATGTGATAAGGCAGAGCCAGCCTCTGAGGGATGTGCCTTCTATTCCTTACCAGGGTATTGGTAGGCTCTCTCTGCCCTGCACTCTGGCCAACATAGGCTCCAGCTACCAGAATGAGTTTGGAGCCGGCCCGCAAAATCCCCAGTTCAGGAGGGTTTCGAGTTTGGATGCAGCTTCAAAGGCTATGATGTGGACAAGGTTCATCCCTGGAGATAAGGAGGTGTCCACTGAATGCAGGGCAGTTCTGCGAGAGGTGGGGCAGCGAGGGTGGTGAGTACAGGGTTAGGGCAGAGGAGACGATGGTGAGGTCAAGAGCAATAATGATGATGGTGACAGGACACAAGAGATAATGTTCAGAGATGGATCCTCCAGGACAGTTTGAGAAGAGAACTTTGATTTGCAGAAAGTAAAGCTTTCAAAACTCCATATAACCCTGGCTAGGATAGGGAGGTAGTTCTTCCAACCTCTTCAGTCTGTTGGAGGCACTGAATGTCCTAAGGATGCTCCCTGGCTCCTCACTGGACCAATGTGGGGTTTGCAGAAGCAGAAGGGATTGAAGAGATGCTGAGTGGTGCTTGATAAGAAAAGTTTTCAACATCCAAACATAGCTGACACCATGAAAAAAATGAAACCTAGAAAGGGGCGGTCAGTAAAAATAGGATGTAAGTCACATCACAATTTTAAATTTCTAGTAGCCACATTTAAATGTCAAAAGAAGCCTGAAAATATTTAATGAACTTAGTTTTAGTTGACTCTATGTGTCTAAAATATTATTATCTCAACATCTAACAGACATCATTTTTGATGGAATAATTTATGTTCTCTTTAGTATACTAAATTGTCTAAATCCATTCTGCAGCCACACCCACTAACTGTCCATCTCAGTCTGGATGAACCGCGTTTCAAGAGCTCAGATGCTACAAATGGCTTCTTCATTGGGCAGCACATATCTTTGTCTTCTTTTCTAAAATTTTTGGGTCCAAACTCTGGAAATGCCATTTCTCAGAAATCATCATGGCATTTTCTCTTCTCTTCCTAAATATAGTTTAAATATTCTGCCTCCTAATCTCTTTCTCATTTTTTTTTTCAAATGGACAGTCATACTTCCCATCCCTTGCTAGGACCTGGAGGGAGCTTGAGAATCACTTGAAACTCTTTTCTTTCCTTTTCTGCCTCCCACATAGCCTCTCACTTGGTGCTGTTTCAGGAGCAGCTCCACTGAAGAGCCCAGTGTGTGAGTGTGTGTTCATCCAATGTGGAGGTGCTTAGAAGAAGTAAAGCATGGAAGCACTGGAAGAAATTTCCCCAAAGTACATTAGCACTGCAAGAAAGATGGGTTTTCCTGAAAGGCTTTAGGGATTATATTGCTTCTATATTAGACAAGCTGGTTGAAGGTGTGACCCCATTAATTGCCTATTGCAGACCCAAAGGACTGATTTCATCCTCCTACTTAAGAGGTGGGAGAGGGTGGGAGAGCAAAGAGGAAATCCTAGGGTCAAAAGGAAGAAAGAAATGAGAGAGAGAGAAAAAGAGAGAGAGAGAGAGAAGGGAAATTGAAAGGGAAGGAGGGAGGGAGGAAGGAAGGAAGGATATCTGGGATTAATAAGGAGCCTAGACATTCTGGCTTCCAGCTCAGAGTTCTGCAGTCTCACCTTTCAGAGGATTTATAATGCCTGAGTTTTTACACTGTTTAGGCTGCTTCTCCTCCATCTCCCTTTCTCAAAGGGCTGCATCCTTATGCATAGCCTCAAGGGTGGAATCTTGCTCACTTGCCCCTGCCTTCCCTAGGTCCACAGCCTCAACTGGGTCCAGAATCAGGAAGGAAGCTGGAAGGAGAGCACTAGCATCCTCCTCTTCCTCTTCTTTGCTCTCACTATCTATGATACAGCCCTCAGGGCCTGTCACAGCATTCTCAGTAAACAATATCTCCCTTCCTCAGGCCAGTTAAATAAGCACTATAATAAAGGCACAGGCAAAGTGCTGTGGCAGCCCTGGGTAAAAGGCTATTAAACCTAATGACTGTCACTTATTGAAGAGCCTCCCATGTGCCGGGAACTGTGCTAAGCTCTTTAGAGCCAGGATGTTACTGAATCCCCACAGTCTCATGAGTTGGGTTGTATTATCATCTTCATTTCACAAATGCAAAAACAGAGACTTAGAGTGAGAGAGGGTCAGCGCTTTCCAGATACTGGGTGGAGACCTGAGCCAGGGCTGGGTGACTCCCTAAACTGATGGGGACTCCAAGGTCACTCTGAAAAGAGGTGTTGTTTCAGCCAAGCCCATACAGTAGGATTTGGGAAGGTAGGAAAGTGGGGTGGAGAAGGTAGTGCGGGGTGTGTTCTGGGACCTGTGAGTGCCATGCAGAGGCTGGAATGGATGATCCCCAACATTTGGGTTGCAGTGACTTCTCAGGCCCTTCTCTAGACCAGCTTTGTAGGACTGGAACCTGGGGCTGGGAGGTGCAGACAGGAGTGCACGGGGTAAAGTGAGCCCAGGGATCTGTGACAGAGGCAAAGGACAAATGTGAAGGCCATGCTAAGGAGCCTGGCATCAAGGTTCCCTGGTTATTAGAGGGCCTGAAAAACTTTTTAAAAGAGGTTTTTATTTTTAATTAAGAAATCGTGATTATATGCATTTATGGGGTACAGTGGGACATTTCAACATGTGTGTATGATGTATAATGATCAGATCGGGGCAACTGGCACATCTATCACCTCAGACACAAATCCCTTTTTTGTGTTGTGCAGCTATTCAAAATTCTTTCTATTAGTGATTTTCAAATATTGAATTAATCACAGTCAACTATGATTCCCTATTGTGCTGTAGAACATTTTGAAGTTATTCCTTCGACCTAACTGTGCCCCTGTACCCACTTAACTATACTTTCTCATTCTTCCCTCCTCTGCACGCTCCCCAGGCTCTGGTAAATATGACTGCATTCAATACTTCTTTGGCATAGCTTGTTAGTGTCCACCGGTAGGTGAGAACATGTAATACTCATCTTTCCTTTTCTGAATTCTACCATTTAACATACATTCCCCCAGTTCCATTCATGCAGCTTCAAATGACATTTCATTCTTGTTATGGCTGAATAATATTCCACTATATTATTTTATATGTTATTTCTTTATCCCTTGATCTGTTGATAAGCACCAATAAACATTTAGTCTACATTTTCTAGGTAATGGAAAGCTACTGAGGAGTTTGAGGGGAAACCAAGGTGTGAACCAACCTCTGTTTTAGACTGACTTTTTTTTTTTTTTCCTTTTGGTACCAGGGATTGAACTCAGGACCTTGAGCTTGCAAGGCAGACGTGACACCATTGAGCTAAATCCTGGGCCCCGATCTCTGTTTTAGAAAGAACATTCCAATGGTAGAGAGGAAATGCAGATGCAGGAGTCTTGACCAGATAAGAAATCATCGAAATACTTTGGGTGACTAGAGAAAAGTGTCCCAGTTAGGACAGGGGCAATGATGGAGAAATAAAGTTCGACTCAGTTCAATCCAACAAGCATTTCTTGAAAATTTTTTCTAAACAGGGCTCTGTGCCAGGCTTTGGGGATCCCAAGATTAAATGAGATATTGGCCTTAACCTCAAGGACCTCACAACCTATCAAGATTCATTAAAAATGATTAAATTGAGTATTAAGGGAATTGGTGGTTGGGCAATGTTAGGGACTAAGTTGTGCCCCCCAATTCATGTGTGGAGATAGCGCCTCAAAGGCAGTAACTGACATTTAATAAAGCCAGAAAGCTCTGGGGCTGTAATCCACTACAACTGGGTCCTTACAAGAGGAAGAAGAGACACCAGAGCTCTCTGTGTGCGCGGAGGAAAGGCCTGGTGAGGATGGAGTGACAAGGTGTCACCGACAAGCCAGGAAAAGAAGTCTCCCCAGACACCAGTGGTGCCTTGCTCAAAGATTTCCAAGGTTCAGAATTGCGAGACAATAAATGTCTGTTGTTTAGGGTGCACAGCCTATGATTTTGTTACAGCAGCTCAAGCAGACTAATACAGCCTAGTCTTCCATTTTTTATGATTCAGTGAGGCCAAAGACTGTGTACACCTGGATAGAGCTCAGAGGTTGCAGCCTGGGGAAGTATGGACTGATTATCCTAAAGACAAAGTGCACAGGGGTGTGAAGAGGCCCAGAGTGGAGATCAGGCATTCCGACATGCGGACACAATGAGTGGGATTTAGGGAACCCTGT